TATTCATGAAAAAAAGCAGACAATGAGAAAAAATAATAAAAAACCTTACCCTGATAACTTTAAATGTTCGGAATATTATTAGACACTGATGCTTACACCTATACCAGGAAAACAGCATTACTCAGAACTTGTGAACTATAAAATTTATTACAATCATAGTCTGAACAAGAATTTGCTCACCTACTTTGCAACTTGTAAAGAGATGACATATAAGGAAAACAACACTCCTTGTTTTCAAAAGTCAAAATATGTCTTGTTATCTTGAATATGTTTCCAACCAGGTATGTTCAATTGAACTCACACTAAACTTTGTAACACAGCATACTGCTGTATTAATATTGTAACATTTGGCCATTTGGTCATTCTTGAGTACAGATTTAAAACATTTTACCTCTGTGACCTTAAAAAATTCTCAAGGTCATTCGCCTGATCATACTTGCATAGTATCCTTACTTCCAATGATGCAGGCTGAAGTATCATGGCCCTTGCCTCATCTCTTTGTAATTAAGAAAAGCACTTTTCATGCATTTGAAACTTGTGGCCTTAAAAGTGGGTCAAGATAATACATTTGAACAAACTTGCTAGACCTTCAATCTGGCATATGATACAGGCCTTACCTGGTGCATTACCTATGTAACCATGGTGATGAGATAGATCTTGCATCCCAGCATGCGAGGTACATGTATGGAGACCCTTTATTATCACCCTTGGGCTTTTGATTATTCAAACAAAATTGTTGGAAATGTTCTGCACATTTCCTATACTATTAAAATTGGTCATTATACGATTGATTTAAACAAATTTGAAAGACTGCTTTTCTCCAGTCAAGAACTGGCTTTATATCATGAGATTCTTAACAGTGGGGAATTTGGTTATGAAATAAAAGCTGTCTCAATACTACATATCAATTATATAATCATTGATGGTTTTTAAGAGATTTTGTACATGGGTTCAAGTAAATGTTACAATGAAAATAATGTTACTTTCAAGTAAAACTATACAACGTTAAATTAAGCTGCATACTTTTCTTTAATGTCACTTACCTCGGCGGTTTCTTGATAATATATAGATAAGTAGGCCGATACTATTTTCAGATAACTTTATTATCCAAAATGATGGAGGTCTGAAACATACAAAAAGTAACATTGTAAATAAAATCAACTATCTGTTGGTAAGACATAAGTAATAGACTAACAAGTAAATACATAATCCTCTATCCCTCCCCGAGTCATTTATAAGTATTTTAAACGACTGATTTAATGTTTTTGTCCTTGTGGGAAATATGGATGGAATAAGTCTATTACTGTTCATTGTCACTGAAAATGTGATATGCCTTAACACTATTATTACATTGTGAGATCAAATTATGTATCAATTAACAGTAAATGTAACATACAAAGAAAATGAAATTAAAATGATAAGGCACTATTTGTACATTAATTAAAAAGTAGAAAAGTAGAACTGTCATTGGGCAGACTACCCTCCAGTTCGGGGATTATTCTGCCCCATTTAATGCTCATAATCACTAAGCCATTTTGGCTCTTGTCGTTGTCGATTAGGACGTCTTGGGGTAAGGTCAACGGATAGTTGCTCTGGTCTGTTTGTCACGATCCTCCTGGGTGTGACTGGTGTTGCAGGTGAGGTAGTTGGAGGATGTGGTGACGGGGGTAGCCTGGGCGATGCTGGAGAGGGAGACAAATTAACCATTTGTGGGGATCCGTCCAATGCCAAAGGTGTTTGCGGTTTAGATTGGACTGTATGAGACGTCCTATCCTGCACAGGAGGTGGACTGTTACTCAGATCTTGTGAAGCTGGTGCACGCTTACTGATCCCTTGTGGATTGATGTCCAGACTGGGCTTCAAAGGATTTGCCGGGACCACTGGAGTTCCGCTCGTCGGTGGTGTAAAGTTTGGAATGTCCCTTTTGAAGAAATGTTTCAAGTCCTGCTCTATGGATTGCTTTTCAGGGGGAGAATACACAGGTGTATACTTGCGTAGAAACTTTCGATTGCGAAGAGTGATTCTGCCCGACCCGTCGATACGTACGACGTATTGGTCATATTGGTGAACCTCTATAACAGTTCCGGTTTTATCCCATTTTCTCGGATATGGTCCAGTTTGGTTTTGAATCCTGACGAGGTCTCCAACTTTTAGTGGCAGCAGACGCTTCGTATGTTCAGCTAAGCGTTCGGCGGTCTTCATGTGTCTGATACGTAAAGCCTCTTCTCTCAGGGTAAGCGTATCACTCCATGTCTCGTGTGGCTTATAGCGGCCTGGTAAGATTGGGATGAAGTCTCGAATGGCCCGCCCAAAAACACACATTGCTGGCGATAATTTCGTATCCCTGTCTGGAGTGTTACGGTATTGCAGCACTGCACGCTGGAAGGAGTCTGTGTCCAATTCACCATTTGGACCAGTGTTGTTTGTGATCATGCGCTTCACAGTCTTCACGCCAACTTCTGCTCTACAATTGCTATGAGGAAAGGCTACAGAAGAAAGCCTGTGGTGCACACCCCATGTTTTTAGGAAATCTCTGGTTGTTGAAGCTGTAAATTCCGGGCCGCCATCAGAAGACAGTTCATCTGGTATTCCAAATGTGACGAATGTGCGGCGTAAGCAATCAATAAGGCCAGATGCGCCATTTTGTGCCCTTTCAACAATTGGCCAATTTGAGTATCTGTCTACAATCACCAGGTAATTACCGCCTTTGTAGTGGAAAAAGTCGGCACAAACACACTGAAATGGATATAAGGGGTAGACAGATGGAGTTGGCGGGGCGCTGGGTTGGGATGGGGCATTTCTGTTGCAATGGTTGCATGAGTTTCTAAGCTTGGTGATGTCGTTGCATATGCCGGGCCAAAACACAGATGTTTCTGCTCTTGACATCATGGATGAAGTGCCTTGGTGGGCTGAGTGTAGCGCTGTCAGCACGTCTGTTCTCAATGAAGGTGGTATCACTATTCTGTCCTTATATATGATGACTCCATCGATAGTGGAGAGGTTGTTACGGAACTGATGATATTCTCTCAGGGGAACTGGAAGATCGTTTCGTGTTTCTGGGATGCCACTTTCAATCATCTGTACAAGCTGGAACATGTACTCGTCGCTTGTTGTGGCAGTCCTTATTCTATCCCAGGTTATACACTGAAGTGAGGTGACTGATGACAATGCTGTCGAGTAGAAGATAGCTTCGCTACTTTTCAATGGGATTTCCAGTGTATCATCTGCGATTTTGTGATTATGTGTTTGGATGGTATATTGCGCCTCATTCTTGTTGCAGATATGAACAGAAGCAATATCATCGATTAAAACCATGCTATCAGATTTCCCAACTGGGTGACGAGAAACGGTATCAGCAGCTCGATGTTTGGCGCCGGGCACGTGTAACATTGTGAATTTGTAACGTAGAGTTTTCTCTTTTAGGTTACGAAGTCTTGAATTAGGAATATCTTCTAGTGATCTGTCACCAAAAAGTTTGATTAAGGGCTTGTGATCCACAGCGATGATTAGCTTGTCACATCCGAGAACAAAGTATCTCGCTTTTTCTAAAGCATCAGCAACCGCAAGTGCTTCGCCTTCTACGGGGGCATATCTGGATTCGGTGGCGCTAGTGAACCTGCTCCCAACAAGAGTTATTTTCCACCCGTCTCGGCAACAGAATGGCACGGTTTTGGAGCAATTGCAATGTTTTTGGAAAAGCCAATATCCGATGCCATTCTTTGACCAATCTGTGGCAAGACAAGTTGGTTTATTCTTGTCAAATATCTGGACGCCGTGTTCTATTTCACTGATAATAACTGCTTTTGATTCTTGAAAAAGACGCTCTAGAGTGTCATCCCAGCAAAATGGAGTTCCAGGTTTGAGTAGTTGTCTGAATGCTTGCATCCTGTCAGTCATGCTGAATGCATATGACACTTGATTTACAAGGCCGAACCAAGATCTCATATCAGTTATGTTCTTAGGTGAAGGGAAGTCCAGAATTGCTTCAAGATAACGGCTGCATGGTCGCACACTGTCACGAGTAATTTCAAAGCCAGCAAACTGAACAGTATCTTTTGCAAACACAAATTTGTCAGGGTTCAGAATGATACCATTTTTTCCACAGGTTTCTAGCCAATTGCACGATTGAAAGAAACTTTGCTGGATACTGTCCGACCAAAGAAGAGCATCATCTATACACTTTGTTTTGTCAGGAATGTCAGATACAATTTCGTCAAAGCGGCGTGTATATCCATCTCCGGAGGCTATGTATCCTTGAGGCGCTGTCTTATATCTGTATCTGCCCCATGGTGTGATGAAGGTGGTCAAGTGCTTGTCCTCTTCACGGATAGGCACACTATGGTACCCATTCCAGGCATCGAAGACAGTCAAGTGTTTTTTTCAGTGCATATTTTTCTCGCCATTTTTTTTTTTGTTTGACATCACTGAAATACAAAGTTTATAAAGAATCATAATATACCAGACATACCTTGAATAAAATGCATCTTATTTTTTTTTCTTCTTTTAAATTAGCTAAAAACATTCCCGAACTAAAACACGTTCAAAGAAATTCAAACCATCTACAATTTAATTTTCGAATAAAGTTCATGATCCTTAGATTGAGACTGACGTGAATTGTCTTTGAATATTGATTACATAGCTCTCAAATTTATTGTACAAAGAAAAAATGAAATCATGGCTTACCCGTATCTTCGAAATGCACACGACAACTCTTAACATTTGGAAGCTGTACTGTACAGGAAAGAAAGAGTTACGTCCCTTATGTCAGGAGAAACAACGACAAATTTCGATAACTGCATTTATGAAAATGTTATGCTTGAATATATGCTTTTGCGTAGTTATATAAGTGGTAGAAATAAGCACTTAGTAGTTAAAATTTACACGTTGGTGTCCGAGTTAATTTTGACATTTATTGGGTTTACGCAAATTTAACAACCACGTGACATTAAGTCTATATTTAGCCTCTGTATCATGTGACCTTATAGGAAAAACTTTTGAAAATGGCGGACGGTTCGTCGTCTGAATTATTTTGGGATCATGCAGGAGAGGATTTGGAGGACAACCCTTTGATAAATACCTATAGCACTGATACTCCCGCCAGACGGAGGGGAAACAGGTAAATCTGTCCCTTCTAAAGAGGGTTAAACTTCTAGACGTTGCACATGCAGTAATAATTACGATTCGAGATTGCTTGTACATCACAATCGATTTTGATTAGAAAAGCGCACTCTCATGTGTAAACTTTCGTGCATTATAGGACCAGACACAAAACTATTGCACACTTTTAAGTACTTCCATAAGCACTGGAATTAGAATCAGCAATGTGATACTTTTTTGCAGTTTTGTTTTGCAGAACAAAAAAACACGGATTGAAAGGGCCTGGTTAACTTTTGAATATACCTTACGTGGTTCTTTTATTAAGCTAACAAATTAAATGATATAAAATGCTAGATACATATATGTCGCCCGCAGTTATAGAAAGAAAACTGTATGATTATGTACAAATATATTACAGATATAGATTTACATGTATTTATTTAGCCTAGGCCACACACTTGGATACAAAACATACATCTTCATTGTATATATATATATATATATATATATATATATATATATATATATGTAACAATAAGTCTATGATTAGACTAAAAGTTGACTGTATTTATACATGCAATACATACATAGTATATTTGTGATATCAATTTACATTTTAGGTTAATGTTTACTATGGTGATAAACAATGTGTGTATACAGGATAACTTGCTTAGAAAGACTGTATCAGTGATATTTTGTAATCTAACACGACACAACATGCTTGATAAAGCCATTTAAGGTTAAGAACAAGCACTACATATAGTACACTTGCACCAAACACCCATGTTATCAAATAACTGTGTACATGTTATATCAATAGAATATGCACTTGTGATATATATATACTTGCTTGTGTAGTATTTTCTTCAGCGGTGACATCAGAACTTAATGTAAATAGAAACAAGCAAGATAAATTTCTCAAGAGATTTTCACTATATACAGCGTAACAACGTAAATCAGATTAACATGTACGTTATAGCCACATATTTATATATGACACTTTCCCAAACTTGCATTAACATGATCATGAAAATGTTTAACTGTGATGAATAAGATACATATAAATTTCATCAGGAATATTAAAGTTCAGTGAAGAAACATTTTTGTTGTTTACCGATGTAACAGAGGTCATTATTAATTTCAATGCCTTGGCTAGGAATCAAACCCAGGACCCTTAGCTTACTAGTCTGACGCTCAATCAATCAAGCTGAAGAGAAGTTCTCTCTAGCCAGGTGGTATATTGTGGCTAGTATTTTACCAGGGTTACATACTCCCTCTCCAGAAAAAACAACTTGTCCTCCAGTTTCTAGGGGTTACAGTAATGCTGGTGGTGCATGGCTAAGTACTATTCCTGAGTCCCTACATGGGGGCCAATGTAACAGAGGTCATTATTAGTATTTTACCAGGGTTACACGGGTGTGTAAAGTGCATTTTTTTATGGATACATTTATTATAAACGGTGCTCGTCATGTTGAAATATTTGTTAAAAAAATACAGTTTGATTTTCACACTGAAACATTATTTCTTGTATTTACATTTTGACAGCTGATGGAAAAGCCTGATGGAATAGCCAAACAGCTGATTCCAATTTGGTGGGAAATTTTAATAATACTATATATTGATCAAAACGTTAAAATTACCTTTAGTTTTGTTGGTAAGTTTAAATAGAGAATATATATATATCCATTATATATATATGATATATTTCATTCTACAGATAATGGTGTTGACAAAAACAATAGTGTATGTAATGATCACATGTTCACCCATACACAGAGATCATGATCAGTTTGTGTGATCCACGTGATAGGCCATGGAAGAATGATAAAACCGCTTGTAATATTTAGCTTCATTGATAGGATAGTTATCAGAACTTACAGGAATTAGATACAAGTCATTGTTTTTGTGGGTATCTTCTTGTGTATATATAAGTTTAAATACAATACACGTAAGTACAACTAGGGACATCGTTTAGCCATCTTCTCTTCCATTAAAGTATACACATTTACTGTTGATTGTTTATTTATCCACTTACTGTAAATCTGGTACTTTCTTGGGGCTCAAGTATTTTGGCTTTTTACAGCAAAGGATAATAAATATACTTACACCAATTCTAACAGAATATATTTTTAGTGGATTAAGAGTACCCACAAAATGAAGAAAAATAAAACTCCCATGAAAATTAATGGTTTCATAGTAACAGTTTTAGTCAAAATTTCTTAAGTTAATACTACAGATACATGTTTAGGAAAACAGGACCGTTGCAAAATGAGAACATGCATAAAAATCCATTTAAAAGTTAATAAGGGTGCAAAAAGACTTTAAAAAAACTATTGACATAGGTAAAGCTCTTAACAGGATATTACAGTAAAAATGTTATTCTTTTTATTGATTATGCAAATCAATACACTTCCAGTCATGTGCCTTTGCAATCCCCATATTTGCATTCAGTTTCCGATGTCAAGTTTGAATACGAATATCAATTTATTCAGGAATTACCTATTAAAGTTACAGCAGAAACACCATGTGAAAATTATGAAAGTTAGACAGTTCACTTATATACACGAATACATCTGATGGTACAGAAAAATGTAGTGACACAGTATGTAAACACCTGTTTTTGTTCTCACAAGTTTTGGTTGAGCTGTTTGATAACTCAAATTTTATTCAGAATTATGAAAAAAAAGTGGCGTTAATAGCCATCGTTCTGTTAAAGCCTCACTTCAGTCGTATACATATTGTAAAGAATATGAAAATCCTTGGTCTAGTGTAATTCAGTCCATCCATCAGTGCATGCACCAGCCAGACTGCTTTCTTAACTGATAGTTACCATCTATAAAATTCAGGGATTTTCTTCTGCCACTTTGGACATCGTTTGCTTTTATGGCTGACATAACCATGACCGATTTACGTGGGAAGTCATTCTTGTTTACTGATATGTTATGTTGTGTGGCATGCGTTATCATATATGACACCATAATTTAAATATACATTCTGTTGATTAAAGATGAGAGATTTTCCTTTTACAATTATCAGTTAACAACTTACATGCTTATTTCCATGGAAACCGTCATTGCTCATAAGGTGATACACTTGATATATATATATGCAATAATTATGAAAAAAACAAAATTTTTTTTACTGTGATGTTGCTTTTGATACTTACCTAAAGTCTACATTTACATGTACATGATATATCTGCTCTTAAAAACCATCTTAAAATGTAAAAAAAAATTATCAGGACATGTGGTATCAAAGTTACCGGTAAAAGGTTATAAAAAATCTCAGCACACAAGGCTTGCTTTTGACAACTTTAAGATTTACCATCACATGTTGTCAGATAAGAAATATATATGCGCTTGTTGTACGTCGTATTCTATCTGATATAAACAGTCTTGAACATGTCACCTTTAACTTAAAGTCAGCAGTGAGGTTTATTACAGGACTATGGAACACCTATATAATATAATTGTACTGAACAGTGATATATAGACATGTGGCCTTACTATTAGGCATGGGTGGGCTTATTACAGGACTGTGGAACAACTATATAATATGTACTGAACAGTGATAGTTGTGGCCTTATATAAACTCCAGTTAAATTATGTTTACATAAGCTTCAGATGGATTATCTTCATATAAACTTCACTTGGATTATCTTCATATAAACTTCACTTGGATTATCTTTATATAAACTTCACTTGGATTATCTTTATATAAACTTCACTTGGATTATCTTTATATAAACTTCACTTGGATTATCTTTATATAAACTTCACTTGGATTATCTTTATATAAACTTCACTTGGATTATCTTTATATAAACTTCACTTGGATTATAAGATAGAATGGATATAGATATTTAGATATAGATATAGATAATATACATAGATATCAATATATATATTTTGTATCAGTGTCATATTTTCAATCTACTTTACCATTCAGTCATTGATAATAACAGTTTTCAAGAGTGTGGTCTCAAAATGCAAGTGAGAAATCCGTTTGGTTAACCATGGTATATGAAAGATCAGATCATACATTTTTAATTTTTGTGCTTATTTTGATTTAAAAGATATATTTTGAGCCATTTCTGCATGATCTTCATTCGATATATATTTTGTTGTAGTTACAGACATGCAGTACTTGGTACCGACCATGATGGTATTCACTTATCCTACTATCAAACAGTAAAACTGCTGGAAAATCTAGAGGAGAGTAGCCAGACTCTTAAACAGTATCTTGATGATTTCAACGAAACCTCACAGGAGAATGACACGGTCAGTATATAGGATGCATCACAAGGGTATGATCAAGGTCAATATTAAGGTAATAAAATACTCAGCAAGATAAGGTCAAGGTCAATGTAAAGGTCATATCGCAGGGAAATAAAAGGGCCAATACGTAGGACATTTGTTTGTTTGTTTGTTTGTTTGTTTGTTTGTTTGTTTGTTAGGTTATATCATTATAGTACCACAAGTAGGGGTAACATTTGAGCCAGTCTGATGTTCTGGTATACAGCTATCACAGCACAACACAGGACATTCACAGGAGAAAAACTGGGTCATGGTCAATGAAGGACATATCTTCAAAAAATGGGGGAAAGCCAATATATATTTAGCACCTTATAGGGTCAATAGAGTCAAGTTCAGTGAAAAGGCTTTGTAACAATTTGATAAGGTCATCAGGACAAATATTTTGGACAGTCACATACCAAAGAAATATAACAGGGTCAGAATACATGGCAAGGGTCAAGGTCAATATTGGTATATATCACAAGAAACATTACGAACCGATTAAGATAAATAGTCTAGATCAAAATTAGGACAATATGGACTAACTGAGGATAGTAGATAAGACTTCATCACAGGTAACAGCTAATCAATGATGGGTACTATGTTACTTTTTTTTCAACAGGAAACCATGTCTATCAGCCATTCTTTCAGAGAAAGGTTTTGTCAAAAATGTAAACAAGCCCTTCAACAAGTTACAGGAACAAAGACCATCATCTTAACCCTGCTTTTACAGGTGAGTACAATAACTGGATAAAGTTTACATCACAAACCACAATAACTAGATAAAGTTTACATCACAAACCACAATAACTAGATAAAGTTTACATCACAAACCACAATAACTAGATAAAGTTTACATCATTAACCACCATAACTAGATAAAGTTTACATCATTAACCACCATAACTAGATAAAGTTTACATCACAAGCCTCCATAACTAGATAAAGTTTACATCACAAGCCACCATAACTAGATAAAGTTTACATCATTAACCACCATAACTAGATAAAGTTTACATCATAGACCACAATAACTAGATAAAGTTTACATCACAAACCACAATAACTAGATAAAGTTTACATCATTAACCACCATAACTAGATAAAGTTTACATTACAAACCACAATAACTAGATAAAGTTTACATCACAGACCACCATAACTAGATAAAGTTTACATCATTAACCACCATAACTAGATAAAGTTTACATCACAAACCACGATTACTAGATAAAGTTTACATCACAAACTGCAATAACTAGATAAAGTTTACATCACAAGCCACCATAACTAGATAAAGTTTACATCATTAACCACCATAACTAGATAAAGTTTACATCATTAACCACCATAACTAGATAAAGTTTACATCACCAACCTCCATAACTAGATAAAATTTACATCACCAACCACGATTACTAGACAAAGTTTACATCACAAACTGTAATAACTAGATAAAGTTTACATCACAAGCCACCATAACTAGATAAAGTTTACATCATTAACCACCATAACTAGATAAAGTTTACATCATTAACAACCATAACTAGATAAAGTTTACATCACAAGCCACCATAACTAGATAAAGTTTACATCACAAGCCACCATAACTAGATAAAGTTTACATCACAAGCCACCATAACTAGATAAAGTTTACATCATTAACCACCATAACTAGATAAAGTTTACATCATTAACCACCATAACTAGATAAAGTTTACATCACCAACCTCCATAACTAGATAAAATTTACATCACCAACCACGATTACTAGATAAAGTTTACATCACAAACTGTAATAACTAGATAAAGTTTACATCACAAGCCACCATAACTAGATAAAGTTTACATCATTAACCACCATAACTAGATAAAGTTTACATCATTAACAACCATAACTAGATAAAATTTACATCACAAGCCACCATAACTAGATAAAGTTTACATCACAAGCCACCATAACTAGATAAAGTTTACATCACAAGCCACCATAACTAGATAAAGTTTACATCATTAACCACCATAACTAGATAAAGTTTACATCATTAACCACCATAACTAGATAAAGTTTACATCACCAACCTCCATAACTAGATAAAATTTACATCACCAACCACGATTACTAGATAAAGTTTACATCACAAACTGTAATAACTAGATAAAGTTTACATCACAAGCCACCATAACTAGATAAAGTTTACATCATTAACCACCATAACTAGATAAAGTTTACATCATTAACAACCATAACTAGATAAAATTTACATCACAAGCCACCATAACTAGATAAAGTTTACATCACAAGCCACCATAACTAGATAAAGTTTACATCACAAGCCACCATAACTAGATAAAGTTTACATCATTAATCACCATAACTAGATAAAGTTTACATCACAGACCACAATAACTAGATAAAGTTTACATCACAAACCACCATAACTAGATAAAGTTTACATCATTAACCACCATAACTAGATAAAGTTTACATTACAAACCACAATAACTAGATAAAGTTTACATTACAAACTGCAATAACTAGATAAAGTTTACATCACAAGCCACCATAACTAGATAAAATTTACATCACCAACTACAACAACTAGATAAAGTTTACATCATTAACCACCATAACTAGATAAAGTTTACATCACAAGCCACCATAACTAGATAAAGTTTACATCACAAGCCACCATAACTAGATAAAGTTTACATCATAGACCACAATAACTAGATAAAGTTTACATCACAAACCACAATAACGAGATAAAGTTTACATCACAAACCACAATAACTAGATAAAGTTTACATCACAAACCACAGTAACTAAATAAAGTTTACATCACAAACCACCATAACTAGATAAAGTTTACATTACAAACCACAATAACTAGATAAAGTTTACATCACAGACCACCATAACTAGATAAAGTTTACATCATTAACCACCATAACTAGATAAAGTTTACATCACAAACCACGATTACTAGATAAAGTTTACATCACAAACTGCAATAACTAGATAAAGTTTACATCACAAGCCACCATAACTAGATAAAGTTTAAATCATTAACCACCATAACTAGATAAAGTTTACATCATTAACCACCATAACTAGATAAAGTTTACATCACCAACCACCATAACTAGATAAAATTTACATCACCAACCACGATTACTAGATAAAGTTTACATCACAAACTGTAATAACTAGATAAAGTTTACATCACAAGCCACCATAACTAGATAAGTTTACATCATTAACCACCATAACTAGATAAAGTTTACATCATTAACAACCATAACTAGATAAAGTTTACATCACAAGCCACCATAACTAGATAAAGTTTACATCACAAGCCACCATAACTAGATAAAGTTTACATCACAAGCCACCATAACTAGATAAAGTTTACATCATTAATCACCATAACTAGATAAAGTTTACATCACAGACCACAATAACTAGATAAAGTTTACATCACAAACCACCATAACTAGATAAAGTTTACATCATTAACCACCATAACTAGATAAAGTTTACATTACAAACCACAATAACTAGATAAAGTTTACATTACAAACTGCAATAACTAGATAAAGTTTACATCACAAGCCACCATAACTAGATAAAATTTACATCACCAACTACAACAACTAGATAAAGCTTACATCATTAACCACAATAACTAGATAAAGTTAACATCACAAACCACAATAACTAGATAAAGTTTACATCACAGACCACCATAACTAGATAAAATTTACATCACCAACCACAACAACTAGATAAAGCTTACATCATTAACCACCATAACTAGATAAAGTGTACATCATTAACCACCATAACTAGATAAAGTTTACATCACAGACCACAATAACTAGATAAAGTTTACATCACAAGCCACCATAACTAGATAAAGTTTACATCATTAACCACCATAACTAGATAAAGTTTACATCATTAACCACCATAACTAGATAAAGTTTACATCACCAACCACCATAACTAGATAAAATTTACATCACCAACCACGATTACTAGATAAAGTTTACATCACAAACTGTAATAACTAGATAAAGTTTACATCATTAACCACCATAACTAGATAAAGTTTACATCATTAACAACCATAACTAGATAAAATTTACATCACAAGCCACCATAACTAGATAAAGTTTACATCACAAGCCACCATAACTAGATAAAGTTTACATCACAAGCCACCATAACTAGATAAAGTTTACATCATTAACCACCATAACTAGATAAAGTTTACATCATTAACCACCATAACTAGATAAAGTTTACATCACCAACCTCCATAACTAGATAAAATTTACATCACCAACCACGATTACTAGATAAAGTTTACATCATTAACCACCATAACTAGATAAAGTTTACATTACAAACCACAATAACTAGATAAAGTTTACATTACAAACTGCAATAACTAGATAAAGTTTACATCACAAGCCACCATAACTAGATAAAATTTACATCATCAACTACAACAACTAGATAAAGCTTACATCATTAACCACAATAACTAGATAAAGTTAACATCACAAACCACAATAACTAGATAAAGTTTACATCACAGACCACCATAACTAGATAAAATTTACATCACCAACCACAACAACTAGATAAAGCTTACATCATTAACCACCATAACTAGATAAAGTGTACATCATTAACCACCATAACTAGATTAAGTTTACATCATTAACCACCATAACTAGATAAAGTTTACATCACAGACCACAATAACTAGATAAAGTTTACATCACAAACCACCATAACTAGATAAAGTTTACATTACAAACCACAATAACTAGATAAAGTTTACATCACAGACCACCATAACTAGATAAAGTTAACATCATTAACCACCATAACTAGATAAAGTTTACATCACAAACCACGATTACTAGATAAAGTTTACATCACAAACTGCAATAACTAGATAAAGTTTACATCACAAGCCACCATAACTAGATAAAGTTTAAATCATTAACCACCATAACTAGATAAAGTTTACATCATTAACCACCATAACTAGATAAAGTTTACATCACCAACCACCATAACTAGATAAAATTTACATTACCAACCACGATTACTAGATAAAGTTTACATCACAAACTGTAATAACTAGATAAAGTTTACATCACAAGCCACCATAACTAGATAAAGTTTACATCATTAACCACCATAACTAGATAAAGTTTACATCATTAACAACCATAACTAGATAAAGTTTACATCACAAGCCACCATAACTAGATAAAGTTTACATCACAAGCCACCATAACTAGATAAAGTTTACATCACAAGCCACCATAACTAGATAAAGTTTACATCATTAATCACCATAACTAGATAAAGTTTACATCACAGACCACAATAACTAGATAAAGTTTACATCACAAACCACCATAACTAGATAAAGTTTACATCATTAACCACCATAACTAGATAAAGTTTACATTACAAACCACAATAACTAGATAAAGTTTACATTACAAACTGCAATAACTAGATAAAGTTTACATCACAAGCCACCATAACTAGATAAAATTTACATCACCAACCACAACAACTAGATAAAGCTTACATCATTAACCACAATAACTAGATAAAGTTAACATCACAAACCACAATAACTAGATAAAGTTTACATCACAGACCACCATAACTAGATAAAATTTACATCACCAACCACAACAACTAGATAAAGCTTACATCATTAACCACCATAACTAGATAAAGTGTACATCATTAACCACCATAACTAGATAAAGTTTACATCATTAACCACCATAACTAGATAAAGTTTACATCACAGACCACAATAACTAGATAAAGTTTACATCATTAACCACCATAACTAGATAAAGTTTACATTACAAACCACAATAACTAGATAAAGTTTACATCACAGACCACCATAACTAGATATCACAAACCACAATAACTAGATAAAGTTTACATCACAGACCACAATAACTAGATAAAATTTACATCACCAACTACAACAACTAGATAAAGCTTACATCATTAACCACAATAACTAGATAAAGTTTACATCACAAACAACAACAACAAGACAAAGTTTACATCAAAAACAACAACAACAAGACAAAGTTTACATCACAAACAACAACAAGACAAAGTTTACATCAAAAACAACAACAACAAGACAAAGTTTACATCAAAAACAACAACAACAAGACAAAGTTTACATCAAAAACAACAACAACAAGACAAAGTTTACATCAAAAACAACAACAACAAGACAAAGTTTACATCAAAAACAACAACAACAAGACAAAGTTTACATCACAAACAACAACAACAAGACAAAGTTTACATCACAAACAACAACAACAAGACAAAGTTTACATCAAAAACAACAACAACAAGACAAAGTTTACATCACAAACCACAATAACTAGATAAAGTTTGCATTATTAACCACAGTAACTGGATGTATTACTATTATTTTACATAAGAGCAATGATGTAATCATACTTATTAAGAAAATTTTAAAAACCAAACGGAAAGTTTGAAACCATCATTCAGAAATCATTTTCCTACAGAGTGTAATTCTGTGATAAAGATCTCATTGATAAATGCATTGTTTATCAGAAGTTTGAGACAAGACCTACATGTTGTAATTATACAATATGATATATACATACATGACCTTCACCTTATGTAATATTTGGTCGTTTTCAGGGTGTAAATCTAATTATCCAGACAATTATTGATATCTGGTCCAAGAAGGATGATGACAATGCTATTGTGGCAGTGAGTATTTCTCATCAATAATTTCATACAACGTATTTGATCAGCGATAAGCCCATAGGAAGCTCCAGGGTGGTTGAGAGGTGTAGTGGTAACATATTCACATTTTACCTAGACTTACAGATTTTTGATTCCAGGAACGAACATGAAAAGGTCACATGCCTGACCCAGTGGGTTTCCCCCGTTACTCTGGTTTTATCCCACTGTAAGACCCCTCGCGTATTAGCATCAACACCGACAAGATTGATTGAAGTTGGAAAAACTTGTTTGGCAATTTTTGTAAAGTAAATGAAGTTTGATTTTTAAAAAAGGACCCTCAAGGGCTTATCATAGGGCAGTTATTCAGCATTTAATATTATTTCAACTTAATAGATGAATATGGGCTTATTACCAGACATTAGTTTATTCTTATGTAAGTAATTGGAGTAAATGGTCTTTCTGAGTAAAGATAATGAGAATATGATATTTAAACATGGTATTATTTATAAAAATTTATATTTATAAAAATTAAACTGTAGCCTATTTGACCAAAGACATAGTTATACATGAATGCAGACTTGCAGTAAGAGCTAGGCTTGATATTTGATTTGATTTATTTTTAACTTAAATCTGATTCCTCATTTCTGTATTTCAGAGCTGTGTTACTATGATAGTTCTACAACTAGCAAACCTCATCCTCATCATGTTTAGTTCAGGTAAGGCATACATCAATGATAAAAATACAAAATCAAAAGTCACTGTCAGGATTTTACTCCGAATCTCAGTAAGTTGATGTACTACACCAGTAAGTTGATGTACTAATAGTTTACGCCAGTAAGTTGATGTACTACACCAGTAAGTTGATGTACTACACCAGTAAGTTGATGTACTAATAGTTTACACCAGTAAGTTGATGTACTACACCAGTAAGTTGATGTACTAATAGTTTACACCAGTAAGTTGATGTACTAATAGTTTACACCAGTAAGTTGATGTACTACACCAGTAAGTTGATGTACTACACCAGTAAGTTGATGTACTAATAGTTTACACCAGTAAGTTGATGTACTACACCAGTAAGTTGATGTACTACACCAGTAAGTTGATGTACTAATAGTTTACACCAGTAAGTTGATGTACTACACCAGTAAGTTGATGTACTAATAGTTTACACCAGTAAGTTGATGTACTACACCAGTAAGTTGATGTACTAATAGTTTACACCAGTAAGTTGATGTACTATATTCAACAAAATTGATTCAATATTTGTATCTATTTGTAGATATAATAGTTATCAATATTTAAAAGAATAAAGAAAATAAGAATTTATAAATGACAAATCATTATTATACAAGTTATGTGTGAAACCTCTTTTTTTAAATTAACTTTCACATTTTTCCCTGATAATGTACTGTTTCAATCAGAGGAATTTTCAGAAGAATTTCCAATTTTTTTTATTTTTTATTTTTCTTGTTTTGTTTTTGTAACATATCAAGGTTTGAACATCCAATAAATGTGTTTTATTTCCAGTGAAGTTGGCTCAACAACTTGTTGGACGGCGAGTGAACGGCATCCTTCTTGTCCAGTCCTACTTTGCAGCGATTCTGTTGTTTGCGGGTCTCTACACTGTCACAAGTCGACTGCAGGTGAGGATTTTTAACATAAGTAAATCACTCAAGGTAAGAGATACAGGATTATTCTGCTGAACTGAAGTGTGTCCCTGTGATGTAGAAACCATTGATACAGAGTCTGGAGATGGGCTTATTACAGGAACATAAGACAGCATTTTCTGTCTTAACCAAAAGTCATATGGACCAAAATATTAGGCCTGAATTTACACGAGTGTCCTTTGAAATACCGAATTAGCATGAAATAGTTGAAAAATATAACAGGTTTATAGGAAACAACATTCAACAGCATAACAGGTTTATAGGAAAAGTCTGGGACATTTAGGAGTCAGTAATTCTGTTATAGGCCTTTGAAAGTGTTTGCCTGTTGAGAAATGTTCAACACTGGAAATGAAGTGTTTAGCAGTACTGTCATACCAGAATCAGTGAAATATTAAATATTAATAATAATTTCAGAATAGACACTGTCCAGATTAAACAGGTTGTAACTGCTTATAGTGACCTGGTAAGTGGGAAAATGCTTAGACCTAATATTTAAGTCAGACTAGACAGGTATTCAGATTAGACTGGGCTAGATTTGACAGGTTTTACAACTAGAGATATAATTCTGTAGCATCTCCATGGAAACTGCTATAGACGTAGATGGGTTCGTCATCAGATGTGGTCTTATTGCCAAATCAATAACGTAATGTTCTTTGATTTTTTTTTCCTAGCCTGGATCTTGGAAGGATATCAGAGAATCAGTGGAAGAGAACCCCGGACTCATCATTGCATTATATACCAAATTTTTGTATTTTTCTGTTTCCACGGCAACTTTATGTGGTAAGTACACCGTCTTCACCTTAGTATACCTAATATACGTCATAGATACTCCAATCTCATTTTCAAAAAATTGTCAGATTTGTTAATGTCATTGTATAATCAATTCAATAACATAGAAACTGACCCCAGATTTTCACAAATATGCTATTCCTTGTATACTGAGAAACCCTTTTAATCTGAAAATTACTCAATTTATGAAATATCTAATGCAAACACCGAATTTCATGTTGAAAGATGTTATAACATTCTGTTTAATATTCTCAAACTTTGTGACTTATTCTGAATCTGGTTTTGAAATAAAATTAAAAGTTTTGACACTGAATTGTAATGTTGTCAGTCCTTTAGGTATATATGATGATAACAGACATTGCTTTTAATACATTTGACATAACCTTGACCTATTTTCCTGACCTTGATATATAACCCTTCTTGTTTCAGGGACAGCCAGTACGTCCCCATTTCAGTGGTACAATTATATATTTGTGTCATTGCAGGTGAGAACTTAAAATAATTTGCCAGTTACTGACAGAAATATTTTAAATCATTTTAGTAAAAATTCACATTTATATATTTAACTGGACTTTATAAAGTGATAAGGTTTTTACATGAAAGGTGTTGAGAAATGAAAATTAAATATTTGTCAGAAAAAAAAAACAAAAAGAAAAACATTATTGTTATTTGAAAGATATTGTAAATCTTGGTATGTGGGAGGTGAAATGCTACAATCTGATAATTGTATTGTTAAATCAGAAATATTTTAACTTACGTATATTAATCACCTCTATAAAAAAAAGAGAGGCTGGACTTAAAGAGGCAAGTGCCCTTATTAGTTAGACTTCAGGAACTCTTCTTTCAGAAATAAACTTGTACTTGTAAACTCATGTATGACATTTATAATGATTATAATTGCCATAATAAAACAATTCAATCACAATTTATTTATATTCTCTAAGTTTATTATTCTTTTCTGCCAATGATGACTTGATTTAATCTAAAGTTTTTTCATTATTGAAACAGTTAAGTGACATTTTGATGATGAACAATAGACGTTTCTTTGCTTTGTCATTTATGATACCATAAATGACATTCCTCTCTAGTTAGTTGAAATATTAACATCGCCATTCATATGTAAATACTTGATCATATTTTTTTCATCAGATGTTGCTGAGTTTCATGTATTTTGCCTCGATACTTGGCCATGCTTTAACACCTATTGCGGCAGACACTCCCAAACAAAGACGACTACGGGCAATGTCTGAGGCCAGACGCCAACCTGAGGCTATTACTAACTGTATTAGAGCTACTCCTATTCCAGCAAGTAGGTTCACAAAGATATTCTATGCAGCATCACGCTAACCTTTTATGCTACAGTCATTTTATTAGAAGGCATATCGTGCTACCAATGTCAATTCCCTCTCTCTGCATCCTATTCGGTGACTAGGAATTGTATAATCCTCACAACAATATCTACTATAGAGTATCATGTGATTCAGTTCTCTATGCCTTTGGGGCCAAGCTGGCCAAGTAGTTAAGGCATTTGAGTGTTTTATCACTAGCCCTCCACCTCTGGATCATTTGAAGCCTACATAGGGCAGTTGGCCGGGTACTGGCCGCAGGTCAGTGATGGTTTTTTTTGGGACCTCTGGTGTTCATCCACCATCCAATCTCTGATTGAGCTACTTTTTTCACTTAAAAAATGATATATTAGTAGCTGTGAATCACCTGACGATTGAAAGCCACAACAGTATTCATGGAAAGAAATATTTTAAGCCAGGAGTATTTAATATTTCAAGTTTCAAATGCGTACTGCGCAAATGAATTTTCTCTGACTGATTTTGGCCCCACCCCTCTGTAACTGATTATGGCCCCACCCCTCAGCTTGTAAGGGAGTGAACTTCTTAAGTTATCTTCCACGTGCATATGGCTGATGATTATCCATAGTTTCTCTAAAATCTGACACGATTGGAAAAGTTCAAACGACACGTGCCTCGTGATCAATAATCATGGACAAGTTGGTATATGTCACTCAAGTGACTTGTAAACAGGGGGAGGGATTAAGTCAAAGTTAACTGTCAATCATTTGGTTATATATGTACTTATGTGAAAATTCCTCTAATTCTAAATCAGAACACATGTTGAGAAATTCTGGTCATTTAGGCGTCATATTACAGCTATACAATCTACAGGACTCGGCTGTTAGACTAGATTTAACATACTTATTGGGTTATGTTTTGATTTATTGGAATAATGCAAATTAATAAACAGTTCAGACAATTCAATATGTATGTGATAATCTTCTGAAATCATTCAATACTGAAAATAATGAATTTGATTTCACCACCCCATCTAGTGTTTCAACAACTCCATCACATCACTGACGAGCCCTAGATGGACAAAACAGCTGTTAATTAATTTTGTAGCTGTACTGAATCTTTTATAACTTGTATCAAAAGATGGTGTTCATTTATGTTCTGTAATGGCTGTTTTTCGTCCTTTTTGTCCGATGGTTAAAATTTTTGTAGTTTTACTTAAAACTTTTGGTGCAAAACAAAGGTATTTTTTAAGAAGCCATGAAGTAGGCTATTTTATTCTTTCGCCTTTTTGTTTTTAAGTCACATGTATTTACTTTATTTATTTTTTTTTATTTTTTTTTATTTGCAATTTTACTCCATCATCCTCTAAAATGATAAAAAATAAAATTCCTGTAAAAGTAACAGCCCTTAACAGAATCTTCTACGACATGAAGCATGAAATAAAACAAGAATGAAAACAGATTTTTTTTTTTACATTAACAAAAAAATGTTTCAGATTACGGCACTATAAATGACAGATGATTATAGAAGATACTGAATGGACTACCAATCTCCATGGAAAAAGACAACATCGCCATGTCAATTCTCCACATGCAAGCTATAGCGAGGTGCCTGAAGGGTGACAAACGTTTTTCTGACATAAGATAGTACAATTAAAATAATAGAAGGCTGTTGAGGTTTGCAAGCAAGTACAGAGCATTTGCTGTTTGATGAATGTGTTACAAATGTGTACTTTCACTCAAGATTTTGTCTTGTACAAAACATAACAAGGACTAGGCACATATTCCTTTGATACAATGGATGGAAATGATTGTTTAAATATATATGTTACGATCAAATTTCAACATATGTTGATGAAAAATTTTGTATCCGGTGTGTGTGGGTTTTTTTTCATCTATATTATATTTTGAAACATCAGTATATCGGTGAATATTCTGACATGTTGGGTTTTGCTTTTGAGTATGTCTTGAGTAGAATAGTAAATGTCATAACAATGTTACAATAGTGACATCATTGTCAATTAAGGCTGGTGTGTTTATTCACCTGCGTATTATCTTAACTTGAGCTAAATATCACAAAATACACAGTTCTATTGGAAATATTTCATTCCCATGTCTAGTCATCACAAAGCTTGTAATTTCTATACATAGCATGATAAAGTAAAAAAACGGTGTTGTTGTTTTTTTTTTTTTCAAAGCAATTTTTTGTGTGCAGACAATTTGTAGATGAACGAAAGTATTTCTCAGAAAATCAGAAGTATTGTGAAGTTAGCGAGAAACACATATTTCATCATCTATTTCATTGTCTGTATGATTGAAACAAATTTTAATCATGCCCTGGACATACATTTACATTATCCTTTTGGATATAAGAAGAGAATATTTCAATGGCCTTTCAACTTCTTTTCCTTTAAACTTCATCCATGTCTTCCACGCTGAAAATGCTTGCTTGGAATTGCTTTTTCTGTCCCGAGGTCATAGGCCAAGGGGTCACTGTTACTATAAATAGAAAATAATTTCTATGTTTTTTTTTTTTAGCAGAATCCAGTCAGGGCTTCATTCACAGCTTTTCTTGCAGCAAGTGCTTGCTTATGAATGCTTTTCAAGTCCTACTGTCTAAACATCAGTCATGGGGATAAATATTGCTTTGTGTTTGGCCCCTGTGACTTTAAATTTGACATTGTATAAAAAATGTGTGGTGTTTTGATATTTGTATTTTTTTTTCATTTGAAAAATGAAAAAGATTCCTATGGAGATGTTGTGATTAACTATTATTGCAGTGTTTTATAGAATGTTTTATCTGAATCTGAACTTTACCATTGAATGGAGGTTTACCTCTGGAAATCAGTGTTTTACGAATGAATGCCAAAGATAAAATCTTTGTGAAAAAACAAGTGGTTTACAATGTTTAAATGGCCAGCAAGCGAGCAGTGAATTTACTCAATTTTTAAATCTGCCACTTTGGCATTCATATTTGTCATTGACATTTACATTGTAGCATATATTTTCTTATAAAGTCTTTTTATTAAGTCTATTTCATCGTATTTCACACATGTTGTACACATGATGACCTTTGACCTTACATTTTATACATTGTATGGATCAGGTATTGTAAAGTACACATGATGAACTTTGACCTTACATTTTATACATTGTATGGATCAGGTATTGTAAAGTACACATGATGAACTTTGAACCTACATTCTATACGTTATCTTTTTAACACGATAACTTTCAACCATGCATTTCATACATAGTATAAACAAGTTGAAAGACAAACTTTGACATCATATTTCATACATTAAATTCACTTGTTTGTATAAAGACATTAAATTTAACAAATACTAGTTTTGTATGCATGGTGACTTTTGACCTTATTTATGATGCATTGTTTCTGTATCATACTTCACAATGACCTTTGACCTATACAGATGTATACCCTTTGTAATCATCTTTATTTTTGATATGCTACATTACTACAAAAACTGTTTTGAAATATGGTCTTGAAATTATTGAAAAATTAGTTATTGTATTTGATATTTTTATGGTTATGGCACACTCATGAAAATAAAACCTTTTCAATTCTTTTCTGTTAAATGAAGATTGAATTAGGGTAAACTTTCAGGTACACAATCTATGTACAATTTCAAGAGTCTTTCCAAATTCAGTGTTCTGTGCTCCTGTCTACATCTCCTTGGACTTAGTCCAGAGATCACACATCACCCGACTCCAGGCTGCTACTCATAGTCAAGTTCATATGTAGAGAGCAGGCTTTGTTATAGTTCAAAATATTAAAATAATCGCAAAATTATTTGTTTGGCCAGCTATATTCATTCACAGCTTTGTACTATACTGTCTTGTCAGTTGTTAGTACTATGTACAGTACATGGGAGCATTTATTGTCACCAATCTTGTTCATTATGGTGTTACATCTTAAAGATGCTGAAAACATGAAACAAGCAAACTTATGTTAATGTTTTCCATGACTTGTAAAAAAGTGATTTTATTGTAAAAATCATTACACTTTGTACTTGAACCTAATTATTGATAAACTATGTTGACAGTTAGATAATGTAAAACTTATTGCTGTTTCACGTTATTTACTTCCATAATTTTTGCTAAAATTAGTCACCATGAATTAAGAAAGTGATAACAATCAAACAATGATAGTACTCATATGCTTGATATTTGGAAGTAAATCACAGGAAACTTGTTTAAATCCGGAAAAGTTTGTCATAGTAAAAGAAAGTTGTTTTATAAAATATAGACTTCAATCTATCGTAAACCAATACATTCTACTTCTTGTGGGATTTATTTTCGCAAGAAGATGTCAACTGTGAATTCAAATCCTTCATCAGCATTTGTACGAAAATAACTGTGGATGGCATTCATGTTGGTTCGGTTACCAATATCGGAATCTTGAAATCCTAGTCTTTAATAGCTCATCATTCGTAAATTTAAAGTCATCTTCAGATCAGTGTTTGCAAAATCGTGTATTCGCAAATATGTCTGAACAGGTAAAAATTGTTATAAATAAAGTATTCGCAAAATCTAAATGATTTACAGGACAATCCTGGTGATGTGTTGTAAAGAGGCCAGGGCTACATCACTCTATTAGTGTTGTCTGATTATGACTGATTAACTAGTTGTTAAGCCTTTTGACCAATCATATGGTCAAGGGTTTTTTTAGCCGAAAATGATACAGAATTCTTCAATGTGTATTATTTGTTGTAAGCTTCTTCTTAAGATAGATGTGTTTGAAGTTTTACAATTTCTCAAAATAATTTAGTGTATTTAAAAATTTTCAATTTAAAGATTTCACTAAGATCAAGGCTCCGCTTGATAACATGATACAAGTTTATGCTGTATCAATTACGTTATACTCTGTGTGTCCAGATTTTAATTTGCATGACAAATTTCTTTAAATTTTGCCATGCTAAACACTTATTCATTTTTCCTTTGTTTCTTCTACAACAAATTCTTTTTTTTTTTTTCCTTTTTTCTTCTTTTCGGGGTTGGCGGTTTTCCTTTCTTTTTTAACCTGGGTATAAATGGCCCCAGCCCCTCATCACTTTGTCTTCTACTTGGCTATCAAGAATATGCCCTATAAAACTGGCTCCCTTATTGATCTAGTAATTGTAACCTTACAGAACCTGTATCTACTAATTTACCAAAAGAAACTATAATCTACATATGCATGGCCTAATCTGTCATCTGTATTTAACTTTTTTAAAATGTATATTTTAAGTTGTGTATAATTAATGAAATCCAAATTTAACTTTGATATTTACTGAAATGTGATACAGAGTTATGGCCCTTTAATCATAATACATCAGTCTCAGTTCAAATGTGTAGTATATGTCATGATGCGGGAGTTCTGTCCCTTTATTGATGATACATCGCTATATCAGGGGTATATATATATGTGGTACCAGGTATTTCAACTTCATTTGTTAAGATTTTTTGTGAGACTTCCTCTAGGAATGGCAGAATGCTACATGTTGAAATTTTCTAGCATAAGTTTATACCTCTATTCAATTTATTATATTTTGTACCAAAGTTTGGAGGGCTGCAAAAGCTTGGTTGGTAGAGGTTTGTCTATGCATCCTCGGATGAAGATCTGAGGTACCCTGATTGGAGGCTCTCTACCTAGGATGGTTAGGTTTTTTCAGGAAACAGACTGGTCTTTGATGTCTATGATGTGTATAGGCAAGACACTTTACATCAGTTGCTCCTGATGTTATAGGATGGGCCTCCAGTATATTGTTCACTGAAGGAGCTACCAGATACTTCAAATCAACCCCACCTCAAATATTCATTGGGCAAAAAAAAACCAACAAACAAACATTCACAAAGTTTGAACAGAAATAGACACAGAATGATTGTTTTGAAACACTCTAGATTGTTTAGATGTATATAAAATCTCTCTAGTTTAAGGTGATGTTACTGCGGTAAAGATGCCAGTATACTATCACATGTTTTTGTTGGTTATCGGAGGTATTACATGTATATTTTAGTATTTATTGTATTACCGGTTTTTCTGCCAGGATAAAATTGTTTTGTATTTGTTGTTAGTTGGTGGTTTCAGATGTTATATTTTGGGAGTGACTTATTAAATGGTTTTTACACAGCGAAAACAACTATTTATACATGTGTACAGATGTTTGTGTAATCATGTTTTCTTTCATCAACTCAGTCATATTGCATTATCATAGCCACTGGAGCTTGTCATGAATTCCAAACCCCATGGTCCTAATTTGTGCGTTATTGTTTACTCTAACACAATTCACCCTTTTGGCCAGAGTCTGTTATTGTATTCAGGGAAACTTTCACCCAATCTGGTTGTACTTAACCTTAAATGCTTATATCAAACCTGATAAAATATAACTGTTATACAAAGGCCACCTGTGTATAAAGGCCACTTTTTGGCCTGTGTATAAAAGCCACTTTTTTGGTTCCATATGTAACGCTAGTCATAGTAATTAAATATATGTATAAATGCCACCTGTGTTTAAAGGCCACTTTTCTCTGCTCTGTT